CCTACGTCTTCTCGTCTTCCTGGGCCCGCGGCTGTCCCCAAGCTTGTCGCGCATGGGTGCCTCCAACCGCACCTCTCCCAAGCAAGCACCATTCACAGTCACAGCCCCAGATCTTCCAAAAAACCCTTAATTAAGGAATATACCCTAATTTATACTAAGGATCCTTATTCTGAATTAAGGTATATTCCTTACTTAAGGGGTTTTGGAAGGTCTGGGTACACGTCGGGCCAAGGCAGGCCTTCTTTCTTGCAGGGTCTCATCCCGAGGCGATCATGTCATGGCACTCCACATGAATCTTCGAGGCTCATCTTTTGAAAATTTAGGGTTTAGGGTTTAGGGTTTGGGGTTTAGGGTTTGGGGTTTAGGGTTTAGGGTTTGGGGTTTAGGGTTTAGGGTTTAGGGTTTAGGGAAGCCTGAGGAGCCTCTTCAAGAAACAGTGACCCAGATCTTCCAAAACCCCTTACTTAAGGTATATTACCCTAATTCATAATAAGGATCCTTAGTAGAAATTAGAGTATACAGTATATTCCTTAACTAAGTGGTTTTGGAAGATCTGGGGAGCGACAAGAGTCTGAGGAGTGCCCAAGCTTCGAGGTGGAACTTAGCTAGTGCACTGAGTTCTACGCGTTACACAGAATCCAACGCCGACCTTGGTGTTGTTCCAGCCGGTGACAGCCTTGAATGAGTTTCAGTGTCGGCTAGGGCTTTGGGGTTGAGGGTTTTTTTTTGAAACAGCCCTGTGCACCTTTTCTAGGGGTTGAGGGTTTAGGGTTTAGGGGCTTCAAGCCACGCAAGGTAGAGCTAGCTGCTACTTCAAGCATCTTCAATCAAGAGGCCAGCTTCACGTCGTCTTCGAAAGGGATGTCCAGGGATTTCACCTTCACAGGTACAGTCTTTTAAGACGAGTTTGGACAAAAGGCCTCTTAATCCTTAAAGCTAGATTTCCTGAGTCTTCGAACTTGCTCGGAAGTGCCAAGCCACAAATTACGGACAGAAGTGATTTCATCAATGTGAATGAAATATGGCCATTCTTAAGAATGGGCCCGCCTGCATTCCGTTCATTTTCTGTCAAGAATTACGTTGCAACTCGAAGATACTGTGCATTTTACGAAAGGGCCAGAGTTGTAGCTAACGGCCCTCCTGTCCGGATGCAGACTACAGGGGCATTGGGCTGCACAAGATTCTCCAAGCTCCACAAAAGTACACCCGAAACCCGAAACCCGAAACCCGAAACCCTAAACCGTAAACCGTAAATAACCCTAAACCCTAAACCCTAAACCCTAAACCCTAAACCCTAAACCCTAAACCCTAAACCCTAAACCCTAAACCCTAAACCCTAAACCCTAAACCCTAACACGACATCCGTGCAAGCTCGCAAGAACGGAGGCAGGAAAAGAAGCACAATTGACCAGAGGCCTAGGTCGACATTCTGGGTTGCACCCTGCGAGCCTCCACCATTTGTTCTCTGGAATCGCCGACCATTACCTGCACTCAACTTCGGTTTAGGGTTTAGGGTTTAGGGTTTAGGGTTTAGGGCTTAGGGCTTAGGGCTTAGGGTTTAGGGTTTAGGGTTTAGGGTTTAGGGTTTAGGGTTTAGGGTTTAGGGTTTAGGGTTTAGGGTTTACTTGCTCACGCTTGGACATGCCAGGCCAGGCACACACTGTCAGATGTGCTTCTGCTGCTGCTACTCCTGCCACTGCTGCTACTGCTGCACAACGAGCACTCCTAAATTTTCTGCTGGATCGGGGCCTCACTTCTCGATTTTCTGTGAAACGACCGAGCTGGCAGTGAAGCACTGGACAGCATGATAATGAAACAGCTCTCACAACACCATTCAGTACTAATTATTTGTGCAGACTCCACAGTTGCAAGTTCTAGGCACCACAATAGCTTCAGGCTGCCAAAGATGGAGGCTCAGTCGTACTACAGGCACGGGGCCCCCGGTGCCAGTACCGCACCTGCTGTGCCAGGGCTCCGCTCAACCGCAACGCGCTGCGCTTCGCGCAGTTCCTGCGGGATGGCCTGCATGGATTCTTCGATTACTCAGAGTATACCAGGTATACAGACCGCGCATCATGTACGCAGGTGGCATGCAACCAATTATGAACTCTCACTGCAAAGCACTGCGCTTCGCGCATTGCCCACAGATTTTTGATGAGTTTCCTGGGTGCTGTTACTCGAAGCGTGCGACACAGACCGCGCAAATTGTACGCAGCGACAGGGCATGCGGTCTCGAATTCAAAACCACTCACACGACCAACAGAAGTGAGAGGTGGAGAGAGGTGTGGGCAGACAAGCTTGCCGAAGCAGCGGCAGCTTGCGATTTTGGATCACTGCTGCGACGCACTGGATGGGCGCCCAAGCCTGACGGCTCATTTTGCTGTCCAACCTAGTCCATGGAACAATTACCCGATTACCCTGCCACCTTCATATGCCTTTGCACAAACCTTGCGCGGCCCGTCCAGCCCAGCAAGGAAGGTGGGCTGCTGCATCCTGCTATCTGCAGGGAACAGGAGCAAACCCTACTCTTAAGGGAGATGGTGTTGAGGCTCCAGCCTCGATTGCTTCGGCATTGACCACAAAAAATCACGTGCCATGCAGGCGAGGGGACAAGCTCTCCGCTAGTAGCAGTACCCTTGACACCCTCGATGACGATATGATGACCTAGTGGTAGGCTAGGTTAGGATTGGGATAGGGTAGCAAAGTTCCCTAGTCTTTTGCTCCCAGCCTTGGTTTCAGTAGCACCGGCCTATAAACTCTGGAGCAATCTGTGGTACCCTCGCCTGCTTGAACAAATTTCTGAAGCTCGCTTTGAGCCGAATTGGATTGGGTGCATGGGCTCCAAAAAATCCACTCTGGGCCTCCGTGGCCGTCTGCTCCTTCAGATCGCTTCACTGTAAAAGAACTCGTGTCAGGCAGCGCTTGGGCTCGACGAACTGCTTCAGCAAGGTCCCCGAAGTCACGTCCCAGAGCTTGAACTGGTGGTCGAAGGACCCTGTCAAGAGCAGTCCACGAGACCAGCAGATGTCCAAGCTCTGCGTCAGGAAGTGCTCGCAGCCGATGGTCCGCGACACCTCCCCGGTTTCCAACTGCCAAATCTTCACCTTGCCGTCATCAGCACCAGTGCACGCCGTCATGGTACACCAGTCCACGTTGATCGTGTTGGGGCAATGGCCAGGCAGTTCGTACTCGCGGATCACCTCTCCACTCCTCAAGTCCCAAAGCATCGTGGCGAAGTCAAACCTGGAAGTTGCAAGAACCAGCTGCTGGTCGAAGGACACGTCCATGGCGTCCCACTGTCCCTTCCCCTGTAGCTCCCGGATCGGCTTCGTGGTACGTGCGTCGGTGAGCTTGATGAAGCCGTCGTAGGAGCAGGACACGAGCTCGTTTGCATTCCAGTCCGCCGCCACACGTCGCACCATGGCAGCGTGGCCAGGAATCATGTGAACTGGTTTGCTTGTCTCGAGATCCACCAGCTGCAAGTGGCCACTGGATAGCCCGGTGGCCAGCTTTCCTCGCTGGAAATCCGCATCCAGGGCGCTCCAAAAATCGCTCTGCGGTGGGAGGCCGCAGGCTGATCCAACGTGCAGAGTCTCCAACGGCATGTCCTTCGTATGATCGTAGATGACCAGCTTTCCACCCAAGCCCACTGAAACGGATCGCATTCTCTCCCAGTCCACCGCCAAGTCCAAGACCGCGCCCTGGTGGATCTGCGCGTTCCGGATGCAAGGAGGCACCTTTGAGTCAGCGGAGTCCGTCTGCGGGAAGAGGTACACCCGCCCGGTGGTGTCGGCGCCTGCAACCAGGAAGTCGCACTCATCCATGGAGAGGCGGTCCTTTTCCGGAAGTTGGTGGGCCGTCTCATGGGCGTTGACGGCCAAGGGGTAGGTCAGCAGGAAGGTATCCTCGAACCAACCTTGAGTGAACTTCTCATCCAGGAAGCGCCTGCCTTCGTGGCATTCATGGAGCAGCGTCTCCTTGGTAGCCCAGTATATCATAACAAGGGCACCCTTTTTTGGGTTGGCTATTTTATAAGGGAACCCATAACTCATAACCAAAAGAAAAAAGGGTAAAGGGCACCACTGGGGCTACCAAGTCTCAGGGTTGCCATAGCGGAAGGGAAAGAGGCGAATGGCCTCATCGCGGCAGGCATTGGCGCAAGCGTCCAGGATCAGCTCCTTCTCATATGCGTCGGTGATCGCCGGCATCTTCTCTTCCAGAAATTTCCGCGACATCCCGCGCATCCTTGCGCCATAGAAGAAGCCCTTTCCCAGGAAGTAGTCGTAGTAGTGGCCAAGGTTTGCGCCATCCAGGATGTCTTCGACTTGCTGGAAGCCCATCTGCAGAATCTCCCACATGCGGCTCTGTTCGTCCAGGTCGACCAGCGTAGGATCCTTGGCTACACTCAGAAGGGCAGCTAACAATTAAAGATTTAGCTGCCTTATTAAGAAACCCAATAAACCCAAAAAGGCTAAGGATCTAAAGTTACAGTAAAGTACCACAAAGGATCCTTCCAGAACACTGCTTCACGTCGCAGGCGTAGCTCCTTCTGCATGTCCAGCTCATTCTCCCAAGCAACGCCAGCTCTCCACTCCTCAAGCCTGGTTCGTTCATGGTTGGGACAATATTCCAAAATTTACTTTTACTTTCCTTATTTGGGTTTAAGTACCCCTAAAAATGTAAAATGGTACCCAACTATGACCAAGAAGCTCTTTGGGGGAGAGGCTGTCCTTGGCATAGCGATAGATCTTGGGCAGCGCGTCGAAGTTCTTCGCGAAGAGCGAAGGAGTGTAAATTGAGGGGGAAGCCATGGTCTGCGTGGCTCCGGTGGTTCGACGCGAGTGTGAAAACAAGAGCAGCCGATGCAGCTTGTAGCAGCAAGAGCAACAAACCGACAAAAAATATATAAAGAGGTGCAAACCTGGGAATCAGTTCGTCTGAAGCTTTAAGCAGATTGAAATCATTCCATCTGCCACATGCAGTGCATCGTCATGCTGCTGCTACGGAGATCCCAGCTTATAAGCCACGCCCAGTTTTGGGTTGCCCATCCCTTGGCCCGGGCTATTGACGCATTTGAGATGTGAACGCGCCAGGAAGAATCTGTACACCGATGCTCGAGAAGGGGCCTTCGCCACGCGAGTGTCGAGGTCAGCGATGACCTCAATGTACCTTCAGGCAGGGCGACTGAGAGAGGTGGGAATTAGAGCGGAAGTTCTTGGCACCTTCGACGTTGAAAGACTTCCGGGGCTCGGGTGGACGTGTCGAGATGATGCTCAGGTCCTGACTTCATGTAGATGTCGAAGACCTCAGCAGCGTAGCATTTTTTGCGGCTTCAGGCTCCCAACGCACCAGGGTGGTCAACCGTCAAAGGCTGGGGTCTGGATGTAGATCACGCAACATATCAAGAATCAACAAGGTGACCTAGTACGCCATGGGGCTAGTGTGAACCCAGCAAAATCCACGGTTGAAACTGGAGGCTACATGCGCAGCACCCATGTCCGTGTTGATCAGCACCCCCGATCTTACGCATGAATCATGAATCAAGAGCACCTTCTCCAACCGCCTGTGTGCGAGCCCTCGGGAAGTTTCTGACTAAGGCAGGAAGGTCAAAATTTCTTAGTCAGCATTTGACCCACTGCTCACACCCCAAGCCTCAGCATACCCTAAACCCTAAACCCTAAACCCTAAACCCTAAACCCTAAACTCTAAACCCTAAAACCCCATGTCCTCATGTCCTCTGTGCCGCCGAGCAGCAGTCTTGTCGGAGCCGCCCTTAGTCCCGTTCGACTTGACCCCGCAGTCGGACCCTTCGAAGAGGAAGTTGGCCTGGGCTGGGCAAGGCCGTTTTGCTGGAGCGGTTTAGGGTTTAGGGTTTAGGGTTTAGGGTTTAAGGTTTAGGGTTTAGGGTTTAGGGGTTTAGGGTTTAGGGTTTAGGGTGGCTCCCGAACTCACTTGCGCGCGTTTCGAGTGCAAAATCCTGCAGCGCAGTTAAGATCTCCGTCTCATCACTGGTAGAGAAGCAACACTGATGTTTGTTGGGGACAGCTCTTCCATCAAGCTCGTTACTCACTAACGGCTTGGGAAGGCACCAATGCGTCATGGTGGTCAGGGTTTAGGGTTCAGGGCTTATAGGGTTTGTAGGGTTTAGGGTTAAACAGCAACCTGCTTGTCGGGTTGCCTCTTCTGCTTTGTCAGCCGGAATCACGCCAACCTCAATGGCCTTGTTGCCACTTTCGCTCTTGATGCACCTTGACTTTGCCAGGTGCAGGGATGGGGTCTCTGACCGCTTCAGTGTCGAGAGTATGCGAAAATGTGTGGAGATACCAGGAAAACATCGTGATGTTGTCGACTACCCAATGTCACCAGCCCGCGCACCAGCGGACTCCCACCACCCTGATTTGGAGAGCCTTTGCGGTTTAGGGTTTATTCAACCTCGCGTTCCAAATCGATCTTGGCTAACACTCTCAATGCATGCCAGGGCTTCGGGAAAAGGTTTTCATTCTGATTCGCAGATTCCAGTCGCAGTGAACTTTGAATTCTGTCTAGGCTAGTGTAATAGCAGGTTTGAACATAACCTTAACATTCTAACCAAAGTATTTATTTTACGAAATTTTAAGCGTTCTGCACTCTTTGTAGGCTATCCGGGCATTGAAGGTCTCAATGCAGATTGACAAAAGTAAATCCCTCTGAGTCTTTTTGCAAACTTAGGAATCTAACCCGTTCGCTATGGAAAACACGTGCAAGCATGGGGAAAGTGGCCGCGTCGAAGCAGCGTACCAACTGTTTGGCCCCAACATAAAACGCTGCGACTGTCACTCAGCGCTTGCACACAACAGCAACTTTTCAGCCACTTCCTGTCTTGCAGGTACGACAGCATGACCAAAGCACAAACCAAGCTGTGGCAATATGCCACAACAACCATCATGGTTTCCGTACTGCTTTGCAAGCACGTCGGCCAGGGCTGCCAACATGCAAGCAGTGGTGGACAACGTCCTCCACACAATATTCGCTGACGCTGGGAAGGCAAAACCCTAAACCCTAAACCCCAAACCCCAAACCCCAAACCCCAAACCCCAAACCCTAAACCCTAAACCCTAAACCCTGAACCCTAAACTTCGCTACCAAGTTTTCGCGCGTCCGCATGTGAAAGCGAACCGGGGCATGCAGAAAGCACACTGTTGCAGACTGACCCTACAGGAGGGTTTAGGGCTTAGGGTCTTGCATGAAGAGGCTGAGACCTCTGATTCCTCTGTAGTTTAGTAGGAGACCCACTATTTCCTGTTCAGTTTGCTCCTCTACCTCCATCTCCATTACTGCGTGAGAGGAAAAATCTCTGCTGATGTTTGGGAGGCACACCTCTGTTCACTCTTTTTGCACAACAGTGTCAGGGCAGGCCTTTCACCTTGCCGAGTGTGTTTTTCATGTCTTGCAGGTGAAGTATCTAAGATTTCGATCATTTGAACTGACAGGAAGATGGCGTTTCTTGTCTTATAGGGTCTTGGTTGTGTCACATTAAGAGGAGGAGACGTGCTAAAGAAATGCAAGGGCTCGCTTGTTTCCTTTCGCATGGACTCTCACATATCGTTAGAAGAGATCAGACCGTCTTGTTGTTGGAGAGCAATGACGGGAATGTTCTCATTTCGTGCGAAGGAGGGTGTCTGTCTCGCATGGGTGCAACTTTCAAGCTGTCGTCGTAGACATCACACCGGTTGTCGTTATGTTAAGCCGATGCTGGCGAACATAACCTTGAACACCAGAGATACAGCTTCCCAATAGGCCCTACTTAAGCCGGCCACCCCCCCCCCAGTGTCAGTACAAGCCTTGCTCCTTGTCACAAGCTTTGATTGATTCTGGTCAATGCCTGGATCGCAGCCTTCGAACTGTAAATCCAAACAATCAAGCAAGCATTTTTTGAACCCTTTGAACCCGTTTTACCATTTGAACCGTTTGAACCCTAAACCCTTTGAACTTTGAACCCTGAACCCTGAACCCTGAACCCTAAACCCTAAACCCTAAACCCTAAACCCTAAACCCTAAACCCTAAACCCTAAACCCTAAACCCTAAACCCTAAACCCTAAACCCTAAACCCTAGGCTTGCAAGCAAACGGCCAGCGCAAGACCCCTGCCGCTGCACTCTCCGTGCTGACCAGCCTGGGAGCTTCAAACGCAGGGAGCATATGGAGGCATCCCTTAGGGTTTAGGGTTTAGAGAGAGAGTTTAGGGTTTAGGGTTTAGGGTTTAGGGTTTAGGGTTTAGGGTTTAGGGTTTAGGGTTTAGGGTTTAGGGTTTATTGATAGCCCAGTAGCAAAATTATAGTCTTGGATGGCCCATAGAACCCTTCTTGAACAAATAGTCCTGAATGTGATCCTCCTAAGCCAAATAAGGGAAATCATAAATTGTGTCAAGGGCCTACCTAGAAGTAAGGGTACCCCTGTTTTGGGGTTGGCTAGTTTAGAAGGGAGCCCAATAGCCAACAAAGAAAATGGTACTGGGTAGTACTGTGCTGCCAAGACGAGGTTAGTCAAGAGACTTAGGAACAAGGGTGACTTCGCTCGCAATCGCCTGCGAAGTTTTCTAGCATGGGTTTCAGTACATGGCAAGTGCAGTCACACTTTGGGCGTAGGACTTCCGACCTAGGGAAGACACGCGGAATTCTCCGAACAGTGCGCGCACACTCACACGCCGTGGAGTACGCTCGTACACTAAGTAAGGAACTTGTGTCGCATGAGCCAAATCGTGCTCAGCCACGTGCACATTCCTACGGGGTCCTCATAGCCTAAGGGCAACTTTAAAAAAAAGAAGTGCTGAAGCCTTTAGAACTCCGCAATAAAGGTACATCCACACCCCCCCCCCTAAACCCTAAACCCTAAACCCTAAACCCTAATCCTCTAAACCCTAAACCCTTTCAACCCTAAACCCTAAATCCTAAACCCTAACCCTTTTAGACCCTTGGCCCTGGCAGGCGAGGCTCATGTTTGGCCCATTGCCTGGGCGCGCTCTCTGTTTTTGGCTTGCCAGGATGGGCTATTCTAGGCCCTCTAACCCGATAAACAGCCCTATAAAAGCCCTTTCTTTAAGGGTTTTAAGGCTATTCTAGGCCCTAGAACCCCCCATAAAACAGCCGTGTAAAAGAAACTAGAAGACGATTGGCCCGAAAGCATCGATTTACGGTGCGTTGAGTCTATGCACTTGACTCTGTGCGCTCGAACTGTATGCACTTGGACAAGTGTATGCACTTAAGTGTATGCACTTATATGGTTGCATACTCACTTGTATACTGCACTTGTATACTGGACGTGTATGCACTCGAACTGCATGGCACTCAAGTGTGTTGAGTTGAATGCCATGCACTTGTGGTCAACTCTATACACTTCATTGGCATTCAATAGATCTGAAGTAAACGGACTTGAACTGTATGAACTTCACTTGCATGCACCCGACTCGGCTGCGCACGTCCTGTCAACGCGATGCTATGAAAGAAAAGACAAAAACATCTTCCGCGAGAGCCGTCAGCCATGAGGGCAGTCGCTCTGAAGTCCAAGCTCACACTCCAGAGCGCCTTTCAAAGAAAAAAGGACAGAAGAGCGAGGTTGGCAAGAAGACCTTGGAGCTTCAAAGAGCAGAGAAGCACAGTGAAATCTGACCGAAGTGAGTTTCGCACGCCGGGAATTAAATAACCATGAAATTTGCGATGTTTTCGCACGCCCGGCATTGGAGCACCATGTGATTTTGCGAAATCATTAACCATGGTATTTGCGATGGTTTTGGAACCAGCGAATTCGGGGACCATGGTATTTGCCATGGTTTGGAACCAGCGAATTCGGGGACCATGGTATTTGCGATGCTTTTGGAGCCAGCGAATTCGGGGACCGTGGCATTTGCGATGCTTTTGGAAGCAGCGAATTCGGGGACCATGGTATTTGCGATGCTTTTGGAACCAGCGAATTCGGGGACCATGGTATTTGCGATGGTTTTGGAAACAGCGAATTCGGGGACCAT